GATTTATATGGCATTGACACAATTTTTTTTTTGGATTTTTCGCGCTGCTAGATTTTCCCACAAATTAACCCTCCGCTCCGTTACTTCGGCTTTTTTTCAGATTTTTCTCGCTCGGCCGCTGTGTTCCATGTGTGCGAGGACGTGGAGTTCATCAGAAGTGCATGGATTTTTGTATAGAGAAGCTCAATGAGAATGGTTGGGTCCACATGTTTCCTGAAGGTCGCGTCACTCCAAACCCAATTCGGTAAGCTGTGCTTGCCCATATTGAACGAAGAAGCTTCAACTTCCAATCTCCAGTATAAAGTGGGGTGTTGGACGATTGGTCATGGATGCAGAAAACCCTCCAGTAATTCTACCAATTTGGTGTACGAATATGGGTGAGGTTTGGACGGATCAACCACCGTATCATCCACGATTTGGCCATGTAAGTTTATTGGTATCTCTCTTATTAATGTTTATCGCACAAGATGTAAAATCTCAAATTTCGTTCACTCTTCTTAACAAATACTGGTCCTTTGAATGCTTTCCATGAAAGTGATCCCGATTCGCTTGTAAAGTTTTTTTTACGTTTACCTAGGTGTACCCAAGAAAAGCAGCGGCTCAAAGCAGACGTTTGGTGATGCTTTGAAGAGAGCAGCATTCTCAAATCATAATTCATATTTGAGGATGTTGAATGCTTGCTTACTTTCAGAAGCGTTATATCTCCATGTTTTCGATGTAGTACTAGAATGTTTGCACACAAAAAATGTTGGGGAGAAATTGTCTTTCGGCGAATACAGATTTTTTTTATGCAAAAAAATCTCCACCATTGAATGAACAGGCATTGATACGTATTTATTACAGAATGTGGATATCCATGTTGGTGACTTATTGGATACCCGATCGATACTAGAGGAGCTCTCTTCAAAAAAAGACTGGAGCGAGCTGAAAAAAAGAAAATTCATCACAGACGCAATCCAGACGGAGCTGTTTAAGTTGGGCGAACGAGTTGGCGTGTTAGCAGATGGAACAGCAGCTCGAATTTTGCGTGAGAATGTTAATGATAAGTTGTGATGTTATAGTGTATGGATTAGCTTTTCTACCGTTCCCATTCTTATTAGTATCTCATAATAGTTTTTTGGGCTAGACCATTATCTCTGTCATGTTTCATGCTCCACGCGCGTTGCAGTGCCGACACAAGGCAGGTGGTCTCGTGTGTAATCCATTGGCATCTCCTCACAGTTTTGTGAAGATTCGTTGAGAGTGGTATGTTGTTTATAAGTTGTGTACAACTATGATTCTTTCACTCAATGTCACGCTTGCATTCTGCATTCGTTGCCATCTCATTCAGGACTGATTGTGCGTAATAATTAT